TAGCATCATTTCCCTTTCAAAGATTCTTTCAGGCAAACATCAGATCAGAAAATGAAACAAAATTTGCAGTTCAATAACAAATCTTGCTTGCACAGAGTCAATGCTGATCACTGTGCTAAATCAGTCAACACACTACCAATCATATCACTCACAGATATTGAAACCTCCAACCTACAAGTGAATCAATTTTGACAAATCTTATGAAGGTAACAACAACACAAGGAGATATGCCTAAGACCTACACGTAAGGAGAAATTCTCCATACACTTGCATAAATTTCTTGAGATCTCCTCTTGTATTATACTACATATATTCATATCCAATTTGACAGTCAGAATTGAATTGGCCTTCACCACTCCCTCCAGTGTCACTATTGCATATAAATCAACAAGGAAGACGTGTAGAAGAAAAAACACCACACAAACTGGACATTGATGTGGATCTATGAGCAAATTCTCTACATCAAAAAGTATCATCTGGCAACATTTCGCATAAATAAAATCAGCATGCCACTGCTTACTGGTTTAACTACCCCTTGGAGGCTTGGACACAGGGAATACTTGGCTGACTTCTTACCAATGTTCTAAAAGGCGTAATGCATTGCGAGGCGTCGAGGTCGAGAATCAAGAATCACAAGTTTAGGCGTGTCAATGCGAAGAATAAGCGTCATAATGCGTTTCGTATTTTTAATATTATTTTAATTATTTTTAAGACATTAAATATATTTTTATATAAAAAAATAGATTTTTNTTGTAAAAGGCGTAATGCGTTGCGAGTCGTCGAGGTCGAGAATTAAGAATCACAAGTTTAGGCGTGTCAATGCGAAGAATAAGCGTCATAATGCGTTTCGTATTTTTAATATTATTTTAATTATTTTTAAGGTATTAAATATATTTTTATATATAAAAAAGATTTTTTAATATATCATAAAAAAAATTACCAAAAAAAAAAAGAAGGGATCAGGCGCGCCTAGGCAGCGCATTATGCCGTCTTTTAGAACAGAAACGCATTTTTCGCGCATACCCCGAATTCAACACGTTTTCCACCCACATCGCGCCTAGGCACGCGTAGGCGGCGCATTTTAGCGCATTTTAGAACATGGCTTCTTACTAGCAGTAGTGCCATATGAAACTTCAGCATACATCAAAGAAGCAAAACCATAACATACTACACCATGTTTTATGCGTCGGCATGTCTGGAAACATCAAGCTTCACCATTTTCCAAGATTTGGCTTCTATTTTATGGGCCTCAGAAATGAAAGCTTAAAAGTTGAGACCTTGGCATTTTATTAGACCATCTAGGGATACACGTTTAATCTAATGATATATATAGGTGATATCCAGGTAGCTTCGCACGAAAAATTAATTGCTAAGACCTCCATCTCCTTTGCACTTTTTCCTATCTACATTTTATTTCACTCAAGTTATCTCAAACAGTAAAGTATACATTAATCCCGACATCTTTCTTGTATGAACGGACGCTTGTCCAAAAAGTTACATCTAGAAAACATGGATCTACAATGATCAATTCAATTCTCAAAACCAGATATCAAAAGTAACCAGTGTTCTTTACAAGTTCCCAGTTTACCCCTCAACGAAAATAATTAATATCACGATGATTGAACTTAAAAAAGGAGATATTTTACAAGGGGCAATAACAAATCAAATAGGAC